AGTATTTCAGTGATTTTTTCAACGAGGTCTGTCTCTGATTCCTGTATATTATTAATATTAGTGGGAGTCGTTTCAATTCTGTTAACGTATTGTAATTTCAGATTTTCCGTTTCTTCTAGTTTCATCGTGATTTCTGCTTGTTCTAATTTGTCTACTAGTTTTCGAAAATCTAAATCGGGTTCTCGAATTGAAGAAGGATGGGATGCTCTCTTTTTTATTGCTATTTTCCTTAATTGTGGTGTTAAGGTCATCATTAAGATTTCTGTCATCTTTGTGTTTTTATAGTCGTGTGTATTTAGTGAATATGCTTTTCGAACTAGTGTTTCGATTCGTACTGCTAATTGCTTGATGGTTTCGTTTGGTAATCTGCGAATTTCATTACATAAAACTCTTTGTTGTTGTTTGTTTCTTTCGGAGTCAAACATTTTTGAAAATTCCTGTGTAAACCTTTTCCAGTTTGATTTTATTTCTAGAGGTAGTACTGAAAACCATTTTTGGGCTGCGCCATCTAAAGTTGTTTGTATTAACGCTGTGCGTCGATGTATCCAGTTTTGATGTAGTGGCGTATTAATTGGTTCAGGTCCAATATTTAAAATCAGGTTTGCTGTTACTGCATTTAAATAATCTTCTACAGAGTATTCAGGGTCTGTTCCTGTGAAAACCATTAAAGGTTTGTTTGATGTTATTGATGATCCACCCATAAGGTATGGATTCATTGTCATTTGTAATGATTCTGCTGCATTTGGCATTTGAGAAAAATTTGAAAGTTGGTTTCTTGTTATTTCATGTTGTTGGAGATAATATGGGAGTGGTATTTCATTTTGCATTTGTGATGGTTGATACGAGTGTGCAGTCATTGGATTTTGTTGTTGAATTGGTTGAAAAGATTGTGTATTAATTAGATTTTGTTGTTGAATTGGTTGTTGATGTTGTGCATCTATTGATTGTGGAGAAAAATTTCTATGATTTGTACGTGTTCTCTGTATTCCTTGTCTACGATATTCTTGAGTATTTGGTGCAAATATATCTGGTTGTAAGAAATCAACATCTGAGGATAAATAATCCATTTGATAAGATGTCTGTTTTTTATTTTTATTTTGTTGAAAAAATGGGTAATTTTCACTGTGATCCTGTGGAGGATTTGTTTGGAAATTTATTGAATTAGGTTGGGTCATTGGGTTATCCCAATTTCGAGATCTTGTATATTGGTTAAAATTTCTTTGTGGTTGATTATATGTTTTTGATGGATGTGTATAATTATAATTATGGTCTGTAAAGTTGTTTCTAGTGAATGTTTTGCGTGTTTTTGATGGTATTGTCATGGGTCTGTATGTTTGGTAATCCATATGTGAATATTTAGGGGCAACCGAAGGTTTAACGGTTGATTGTAAGGTTACCTGTGTTTGTGAAGGATTTGTATTTTTTGGTGTTGTTAAATTTGGGCGTATTGGTGAAATACTTTGTTGTGTAGTTGTTGTGTGTACAATTTCTTCATTTATGAAGTGTGATGGTGTCTGGATATCTTGTTGAGTAAGATTCCTAGTTCCATTGAGGTTTTCATTGTGTATGACTGTAGAGTTTAAACTATTATTTTGTGTATCGGGCAAAAATGTATGATAGTTTAATGGTGTTGCATCAATGGTGAATGGTATTATTTTTACATAATCTCTTATGTAAGATATCGTACTTATTGCTTGACTTGAGATTGATTGTGGGAAGCTTATAAATGCGGGATGAGACCATTCGGGGTCCCAAACATAATCTGATTGTTCTGTGATAGCGGTATCATCGTTCGAGTTTTGGGGTCTAAAATTTTTTCTTGCTTGTGCAATTAAATCAATATTGTGTGTGAAATAATCTATTATGAACCATGCCAAAATTTTTTGTAGATCGTGTTTTGTATGTTGTGAAACGTCGTCTTTCGTGAAATTTTCTTTAATGATGTTTAAATAACTAGAGAGTAGTGTGATTTCATGTCGTACTCTTAAATGTTTAGATGTTTCTGTCGGTGAGACATTTGTTATTGGGATTTCGTTTTCTAATATCGAAATATAACTATATATTATTGCGAAAACTTCATTGGTGAATATGGAGTTTGCTCTTTGTGAGTTATGATATTGGATGCTTTTTATATATTCTGAAAAAACTTTTGAAAATTCTAAATCAAGATCGTCTGTTTGAATTGTATATTTTCTATTATTATGGTTTGGTGAGGTGAATTCTATGGAGTAGATTCCATACTGTTGTGTTATGTTGCATATATCTTTTAAGTAGTGGTCTATGATTTGTCTTTTGATTTTTACATCTGGGAACTCTGTTTTACAGGGACTGATTCCGGGTTCAAATAAATTTAATAGTAAATTTTTGCAAAATATATGCTGTCCTCTATCAGTGGTTGCATCTATTATAAAAGGAAAGATTTCATCATCATCTGGGGTTTCGTCACCTGGGGTGTGCGTTGAGCTCATTTTTTCGTTCGATGACTGTTAATATGTAATTATTAATGTGTCGAATTGGTTGATTCCAATTGTATAAATGTACTGGTTTGTGTTTATACTGCTTTTTTATTCTTCTTTTTCCTCTTTTTGATGAATTTGAAGTTGTTTCTGAGTCAGAAAAATATAATTGATCGTGAAGTGGGCAATTTTTATCTATTGATTCTTTTAGTTTGTAAAGTTCGTCTAAACTGTTGGTTTCTGATTCTGAAAATGCGTTTCGATTTTTTGAAAATCTTTTTCGTGTTATTTGTCTTTGTTTCGTTATTATTTTTCTTTTTAGTGTTTGTCGTTTTGTTCGAATGTATCCAACTGTTTGTGTATGAGGTGTGATTACAAGGTCGTATTTTTTGTTATCTATTTCACAATTGTGTAAAACGATTGTTTGTTTATTTCCTAGGTTTTTAAATGACATAAGGTTTAGGATGACGGATGCAAAAGGTTGTTAAATGATTTCTATTTTCCTAAACTGTTAGTTCTTACGATTTTTTGGTTAGCTTAACCTGGGTCTATTTGTTCAGGGTTGGAGAGAAAAGTATATCGATTCCGAAGAATGATTCTTTACTTTCTCGTGGCTAGTATAAGTTAAGGTGTTAACTTACTTAATCTTACTTAGGGGTAGTGATTGTGTTCAAGGGTTGGAGAATCGTAAATCGATCCACAAGGTTCAGGTATAATTAGAACGCGAGTAGTTCGTTAGATACTATTGTAAACTTACTAAGTCTAAGATTTATCCTGGGTCTGGTAAGAGGGGGGGTCAAGTGAAGGATGAATAACCGAAGTTCTTCACTGTTTATCCTAATTTGAATGATTAGTTTTGTTTAAAAATTTCTATTAGTCTTAGGTCTTTAGAAAGGGTTGGGTAGTGAATCGACGTTTGAGGTCGTTAGACACTAATTAAGTAGGTGGGGGAGAACAAAGTTGTTCTGTTTGATCCAAGGATAAGCCTTGATGATCAAATTTGAAATTTAATTAAGTAGAAAATGATTTAAGATCCAAGGATAAGCCTTGATGATCTGGTTTTAAAATTAAGTGAATTTAAGTTTTAATAAAATTTTAAATGTGTGTAAAGGAAAGATTTAGTGTTTTGATGATATTAGTGGGTTTGTGATTGCTGTTATGTTTTAGGTGATGGAGCTGGAACAACAGGATGATTTATGATTACTAACCATTTATTGTCATGCTACTAATTTTTATTTTTTATTTTTCAATAATTATTTTTCAAACATGTTTTGTATATTACTGCAGAGTTTTAGGAAAACGATCTTAGATCTTTTTATCAATCGTTATTGTATATTAATAATTTTGTTTAGCGCCTGAAATGATTTTGAAGATTAACTTCAAGGTTTTATGTTTGCAAATGAAAATCTAAATTCATTGCCAGTAGTATTCTAAATATAAAAGTTTGTTCTGGTTTTTGCCTAACTATCATATAGCTATATGGCAAGTTTCTACTTTGTCGTATGTCGTCTCTGGTTCGAGGTCTTCTTCCAATTCCGGGTAGTTCTGTTATGGTTCGGAATATTGGCTCTGATCTATTGAGTCGTAGAGACATTTCGATTAAATTATTGTCGTATAACATTTTGTAAATGTTTTTGTCTAATTTCTAATCTATTTTGGTTAATTCTAAGCTATTAAGGTCTTGTTCGAGACTTATGGTCGCACCAGATGAGTTAGGGCTGGAGTGTATAACTCATAGAGTAATTTCGGATAGGGTACACCGTCTGCTCGTCACGCTATCTTATTTTCGGCCGGATAGATTCGTGCAACTTCTTAGTCTAATACCGATCCTAATCTTACTCTTATACTATCTAGTCTCAGGTTGTTTAACTAGTCTCTGCTAGGCTCAATAGATCTAGGGTATACTGGTTTATTGCGGCTGCTGAAGTGCTCGGGAGAGTCCAACTAATTTCTAAATTAAATTCAAATCTCTCTGGTGCTGAAATTACAAGTAACTTCAGCACTTACAAATAAGTGGGTTGTTAGTTAGATGGATCATGATTGGTTAATATTAAATACTTTACATTGGTAAAATATCTAATTTATCCAATCATAAAATGTAGTTTAGATCAGGTTCCACTGCCCAAGATGTAGCTTTTTTGAGCCAATGAGTCAAAGATTTAAATCGACAACTTGTTCACACGTTTTTTTTTGCGCTTTATCGAGTTTTTACAGAATTGTGTGCTGAACAAGCTTTTATAACGCTGAATTTAAAAAAAAAACGGATAAAATGAACTAAAAAGATAATTTTGAACTCGTTTTTCTCAATTTGGTCGACGATCAATACTGTTCGAACATTCTGTGCTAATTGTACAGCAACCGGCTATCCTTGTTATCGCTACAGAAGACAAAAAAAAACAATCAACTGTCTTCAAATCAATGTAAGATTCAGCGGGCAAAGCTTTATCAAAGACTCTTCCTAAATCGACGCTAGCTTTTAAATTTCCAAATCAGACTGATTTTCACTTGTGCGGTCAATGAGCTATGAAGGGTTCCCCTTTTTACCTGATTGGTGACTGGGTCATACATTCTGACATGGGTGTCTCTTCCGGCTGATATGAGGACAGTGACGTCATCACAGAAACAGAGAGACATTGGCTCGTTTCCCTCTTCTGAAACACACTGGGAGCTATAGATTACATGTCCACATCACGAATTTTTAAGTTTAAATTTCACACTTAGTCAGTGGATTTGCTGAACACAGTAATGAACTAAAAAAAAAACTTGCGCAAAATTTTCTATGCGGAATTGAGAGACAAGGAACTCACCATGATTAAACTTGAGCCTTTTAAATGCAAGGTGAACTTTTGATGTCGCTTAATAATGTAGATGTCTTAAATTCGCTCAAAGGAGGATAAAATGAAAGTGACTATTAAAATCGAACACAAAAGAAACAAGACTGCTCGTATCAGGGCGAAGCCCTGAATGTTCCGACTGCCTTTTAAGGTTTATGGAGCAGCAGTAAAAGCATAAAAAAATTAAATTAAATAAAATAAAATGAAAACCATAAAATTTTTTGTGAAAACCATCCCCCCACACGCCATATAGAGTACAAAAAGAGAGATTTCGTTCCTTGTAACAAATCAATTATGGTAAAAAAGCTTCTCTTAACCAATTTGGAACGATTATAAGACGGATTAACTCTCCGCTTACGCGTTAATAGCGCGAAATATATCGCACGTTAATTGTCCCAAATTGGCCAAAATGGCAATCTTTAAACACCCATAGCTTCACAAAAAATAATCACAGGTGAAATATCTTTTCAAATTTAGGCTCAGGACAACAATTCTTTTTGAATGATATAAAAAAATTCCGTCAAAAATGGCTTGTTAAAAAGTCGAAATTTGTCTGAAGAAAAAAAAAACCCACCCCGAGCACAAATATTCCATTACTTTCGTATCGAAAGTCGGAACAACAAGGCTGCTCGTATCAGGGCGAAGCCCTGAATGTTCCGACTGCCTTTTAAGATTTTATGGAGCAATAATAACATTAAAAAATTAAATGTAAAAAAAATAAAATGAATTTTTTTTTAAATTTGAATTTTTTTGTGAAAACCAATCCCCCCACATGCCATGCAAAATATAAAAGGATAGATTTCGCTCCGTGTAACAAACCATTTATGGTAAATAAGCTTCTTTCAACCAATTTGGAACGATTTTAAGGCGGATTAACTCTCCGCTTACGCGTTAATAGCGCGAAATATTTCGCGCGTTAATTGTCCCAAATTGGCCAAAATGGCAACCTTTAAACCCCCATAACTTTACGAAAAATGATCACAGGTGAAATATCTTTTCAAATTTGAGCTCAAGACAACAATACCTTTCGAATGATATTAAAAAATTCCGTCAAAAATGGCTAGTTAAAAAGTCGAAATTTGTCTGAAGAAAAAAAAACCCATCCCGAGCACAAATATTCCTTTACTTTCGTATCGAAAGTCGGAACAACAAGACTGCTCGTATCAGGGCGAAGCCCTGAATACTTCGACTGCTTTTTAAGCTCTATGGAGCAGTAATAACATGAAAAAGTAAACGTAAAAAATAAAAAGAGAAGTGAAAATCATCCCCACACGCCATCAAGTACAAAGTGATGGATTTCCCTCCTAATAACAATTCGATTATGAAAAATAAGCTTCCTTCAACCAATTTGGAACAATTTCTATGACGGAACAAACCTCCGCTTACGCGTTGATAGCGCAAAAAATATCGCGCGTGAATTGTCCCAAATTGGCCAAAATGGCTATTTTAAAACCCCAATAACTTTACAAATAAAGAATACAGGTGAAATATCTGTTAAAATGTAAGCTCAAGATAACAACACTTTTCGAGTGATATAAGAAAATCCGGTCCAAAATGGCTAGTTAAAAAGTCGAAATTTGTTATAAGACAAGTTATAAGGAAAATTTTTTTTTGAACAATATGAGACTTAATGTGTTTCAATTGCAGCTTTTTTGTAATTGATGTAATTAGTTAAAGAGATGAAAAATGGGTTCAAAAATGACCAAAAGTGTACTCAGAAACAAAAAAAAACAAAAACTGAATGTTAACCCTCTAACAAATTGTGGAATCCAGAAACTTTTTAATACAGTTCGCTTCAATTACTAAAACGTGTTTGTTTGTGGGATCCAAAACAACCGCGCCCAAAAAGAATTTAGAAAAACCGCATTATATATGGATTCCATATTTTTGCTCTCTAGTCAAAAGCCAGTGCCTTTTTTAGCGCCTAGTGCCTAATAATTGTTCCGACTTTCGTAACGAAAGTAAAAGATTATTTGTGCTCGGGGAAGGTTTTTTTCTTCAGACAATTTTCGACTTTTTAACTAGCCATTTTTGACAGATGATTTTTTTTATCATTTGAAAACTATTGCTGTCTTGAGCTTAAAATTGAAAAAATATTTCACCTGTAATCATTATCGTACAGTTATGGGGTTTTAAATATTGCCATTTTGGCCAATTTGGGACAATTAACGCGCGATATATTTTGCGCTATTAACGCGTAAGCGAGACTTAATGAGTCTTTGAAATTGTTCCAAATACGTTCAAGGAAGCTTATATGCCATAATTGATTCGTTAAGAGGAGCAAAATCTATCATTTTGTAGTGAATATGACGTTCGGGGGGATGTTTTCACAAAAATTTCAAATTTCAAGAAAAATTTCAATTTATAGAAACTGAAAATATAACTTCTTAGAACTTTTTTTTTAATTTTCAGGTTATTACTGCTCCATAGACGTTAAAAGGCAGTCGGAACATCCAGGGCTTCGCCCTGATACGAGCAGTCTTGTTTTTCTCTAATTCTTTCCGATTTTGACTTCACAGGACTTTCCAAATGTAAAAACATTCAAACACAAATTATGCTGATTCCAGATGCAATGAATACAGAATCCAGAACACTACCAAAGTAAGTAATCTTGGCGTCGTAATGTTTACATTCAAATTTTTTAACCTTTATGAAAAATCGACGTGTTGTGTTTTGTGATGCTACTCTGATAAATATTTCCGTCCACACTCGCGGAAAAAATTAGATCTGGATTTGTGGGGTGAGGCAGCACCTTCATGATTGGCAGTCCGGATGATGAGCCCAGTTTGAGAGTTTGTACTGGGTTTTGTCGAGTGGCAGCGTCGCATTTGAAGATCTGAACAACAACTGGTTAACTTGCTAGCGCCCCTCTCCTCCAACTCGTGTACAAATTAGTTTTTCAATTTGAGAGCTAAACCTTTTCAAAAAGTATTCAAAAATGAGACAAAATATGTTTGGCTTTCATAATTTGGTCATCATGGCAAATTTCATAACAATTCAATCACTTGAACAAAACTTTTCTACGTTTCTACTAGGAAAATAAATGAATTACGGGACCTGTTTTCAAGATAATGGAGATAGTTTTGCAATGCTTTTAAAAAGTTTGATAATACGTTTTTGCTCGTTTCACATAATTATTGTTTCAGAAAGATAAACGAAAAAAATGTATAGTCTTCTATCAAGAAAAATAAACCCAATTAGCTTATTATTTTCAAGTTATATATTGTTGTATATAAGTTATACTTATTTCATTACATATGAAAGATAACTAACTGTTATAGCACCGTTTCCATGTCCACAAACGAACTTCCTGTCGCCAACTCCTTTCTTAGATTCGGCCTCACTGCAACTCCCGATAAATGCAAGTGATGTTGCTCCTTCCAAACTCGGATCCAACTTGATACTCGGCAGTTCTTGGATTTTGTTCTCGAAGGTCTCGTTTGTTTCAGACGCTTTCTCAACATCTTGGGCGAGCATACGTGGCACCGGCATTGTGCGATAAAGTTATAGAAACAATCAAACTTCGTATCAAAAAAAGCAATTTTGACAAAAAAAAACTTTTTAAACTACGTGATTTTGTCGTTGTTCAAAATATATGCAAGTCATCCGGCCAGAAATAAAATTCTAAATGATAGATTACAACCAATATTGAGTTAAAATGACGTGATGTGCGCTTAAATGTACGACTAATTTTTTAAAGGTAGAATTCAATACAATACAGCAGCACAGAAGGCATATACTATTGCTAAAATAGCTGCATAAAATGTGTAACACGTACTTGCAAAATGGTTGATGTTTCTTCCAGTCATTTGAACCTGTTAAATGCTGCAGAAGTAGCTGATTGAAAACTGCAGTTTTCAAATTTGATTTCAAAAATGAATTCGGGAAAAAATTCATCTTAAAAAAGACTCCCAGATGATAAAAATATGGCCGACAAAAAACTGAGCCGAGTTGTGACAAGAGTTTGAGCGTGTATACGAATCGAAAACATCCATAACTTCAGAGTAAAAAACAGGTATTTTATGTTTAAACAGTTTCTGTAAAACATCATCAGAAGTTCATTAATCTCGTTTTATGTTTTTGACAGATTCTTTGATCACACGACTTACAACAACTTAAACTAATTTGAAAAAAAAACATAAAAAGCTTTTTCAGGTTTTTTGAGCATGGTCGGAATAGTAACCAGCTATCTTTGTTAACTATTATACTTTGCATGTATTGATGATGTCCACCATAAATGCGTCTAAATTACTAAAAATAATGTCTAAAAAAAGGTTCCGAGATTTTAAAATCTTTTGTTGAAATTTCTGTCTTTCATACCATCTGCACCGATAACAAAGATCCCCGGTTCCTGGGCAAGTAGCACAGAATGTTCCAACCATTTTCATTAAAAATAACAAAAAGGTTCTTTTCTCTTAAAAATTTTGTCCGTACCTGAGCGTGGTGTGACGAGAGAACTATAAAAACGCGTATCAAAATACTAAATTAGACATAATCGACAACTGTTGTCTTGAGAAGATAAAAAACAAAAAAATTCTCGAAAAAAAGTTCTATATCTTCTTCTGCACAAAAAAATCAATTTCTTTCCAAAACTTCATAAGAAAGAGTTTTTAAAGGACCTATTGAAATAATAACTTGTGACATCTGATTTTTTGTCGAAAACAAGAACAAAGAAAAAAATAAAAAATAACCGAATACAAAATTGCTCCCAATTTTTAATGGTCGCAGGAAAACTCGTTTGAAATGAAATGCCTGTATGCCCAAGTTTCAATTTGCTTGCGAGAATGAAATTGAAAAAGATACGCGTTCCACAGTTCATCTAACTGTCACCAACATTCACTCAACGCTCTGGGCAAACGCAAAAAAATCAATACAGATCACAAGCTTAACATTAAAAAGTTAAATTTCAGGCATTTTCACTATGGACACATATGTAAAGTTCAGTTTAAAATTGGAACAAGTTTGTCAAGGACACAAAAGTCTGGAACACAAATGACCTTTCATCCACTTTTGCAAGACGGAAAAAACTTTGCGTTAGAACTTGAATGCCGATTTTGAGCAAAAACAGGAATACTGATGCAAGTTATGATTTTTCTGCCGTCGCGAGTTCTTGATTACCTTGCATATTTCAAATATCGAATTTCGACAGACATCTTAATTCTGATGCACTGTGTTGGATCTATACGTAATAATGGCCATGTGCGCGCAAGGTCACAATTTTAAAAAAATCGCATTCATTAACCCGTTCCAGCCGACCTTGAGAAACCAAAAATAAGCCCTTATAATTCAAGCAGTTTCTGCAGATGAGACACTACGTAAAACAATTTTTTCCGTCCGAAGAGATATTGGAAAATGAACCATTAACATATTTCAGCACAAAAGACGACCCAGAATGCAGGAGTCGAAATCTTTAATTAACTTTGAAACTCCCGAACTGCTTGAGTGTGACTTGCATTGAGAAAAATGTCCTTTATAATGACTCTGGACCTGATGGTACGAAGCATAGATCAACTTTCACCGCTCTCGCGAGACTAAAACTTCCTAACCACAGTGTTGATTTCTTCTGAAAGGTTATAATTTTATTGGCTCTACAAATCTGTTTAGATGTACAGTATACCTTATTAAGTATGAATTGCTTCCAAAAAAAAGACGTCTACGGTCTGTTTTTGAACTGTTTCGATATAGAATTTTCCAAAACAAGAAACCTTGATTTCAAAAAAAGGTCCGAAAAGCGTTTCTTAGAAATAAAAAAAGTACAAAAACTGCTACTTTCAAAAACGCTGAAACGTCTGACGTCAAACTTATCCTACTGGAATCAATCATAACTTCAAATTCGCTCCAGAACTCCATGAGCATATCCAAATGGTATCAAATATTGCTTTTTTCCGGTAAGAGACGTTTCCAATGCATATAAAACTCTCCAGAAAACATCCCTTGTAACTGTACACCCAAGTTTTAATATTTTGAGGATAATTGCACTGGTCAGTTCTTGACGGCAAATATAACACGTCAAAAACTAAATTTCACATTGACATCTGTAGTTGCATTCAATTTGTTACCACTGGCCGACGGATTGCCAACAAGGCAGTTGAATGTTTGAACAGCAACTCACTCATTTTTAGTTATGCTCGTGAAGCAAAGCAGCCTTCACCAAGAACCAAAAAGTCCACATATTTGTTGAAAGTTGTTTATGTACCGGGTGAGAGTGTTCCCTTGTAAAAGTCCTCTTTATACTTAACTTCACAAAAACTAAAACAACGTAGTTGCATTCAATGTGTTACCACTGGCCGACGGATTGCCAACAAGGCAGTTGAATGTTTGAACAGCAACTCACTCAATTTTAGTTATGCTCGTGAAGCAAAGCAGCCTTCACCAAGAACCAAAAAGTCCACATATTTGTTGAAAGTTGTTTATGTACCGGGTGTAGAGTGTTCCCTTGTAAAAGTCCTCTTTATACTTTACTTCACAAAAACTAAAACAACGTAGTTGCAGCTTATGACCCGAATAAAAATCTCAATTTTTGTCAAATATGCATCAGCAAAATCAATTTATGAATGAAACTCAAATAAATATCCACAATTATTCTGCAAGGCAAAAAATTTCATTAATTTTTCAAACTTGATTTTTTTGAAGGAAAATTTCAAGTTATAGCAAAATTTGATTTCAAAACGGATAAAATTATCAATGTAATTCAGCTTCAAACCTTTTTTCTGAATAAAACGAATCAACTAGTTGTTTGGACATTATAGAATTTAAATTAAAGAACAAATAATTAAACGCAAAGCAATACAGATCACAAGGTCAAAAGTGTCAACAATTTAAACATATGGAGCAGTTTTTGCCGGTGGCAGGACAATCTACCCTATTCCAAACTACCCTATACCATTCTACCTTATGCCATTTTATCCTACATACCAATCTACCCTATACCAATCTACCCTATACTAATCTACCCTATACTAATCTACCCTATACTAAACTGCCCTATATACCAGTTTAACCTGTGTCGATTTGGCGCATAATTAATGTAATTTTTCGAAGTCCTAATTAGAATCGGAAAGATAACAGCACGTGTTAATTCATTTGAGTCTAAATTTTATAGGGTAGATTGGTATGTAGGATAGAAAAGTATAGGGTAGATTAGCACAGGGTAGATTGGTATAGGGTAGAATGTCATGGAACCGTTTTTGCCAAAGGCATGAAAATCTGAGACACAGAAAATCTTTCGTCCTTTTTTGTATTACTGACTACAATTTGATTTTAAACTTCAATGGCGAGTTTGAGAAAAATGAAAACTGGTTCAAGTTAAGATTTTTCTGCTGTCACTTAGTGGCTGTCGTTCCGTGAAATTTTAGGCTCTAGAGAGGCTGATAGAGGCATATAACTTCTATCAACTTTGTGAGACAGAAGAGATATTGAGCTTAAATTTGAGTAGCAGTTTCGACTAATAAATGAATGCTGCTGCCAGTACCTATTTTTTCTGCGGACGAAAATTGAAATTTTACGAATAAGCTTCAATAATTCAAAAAGGTATCAATATTTAAACAAAAAAAAGCATTTATTTTTGCTGACTTTGCTTATGTTTCGTTAAAACTAAGTTTGACATTACATTTTACGACTAAGTTTCAATAATTCAAAAAGGTATCAATATTTAAAACAAAAAAAAAAGATACTTTTGCTGATTTTGCTCTTGTTTAGTTATAACTATATGAAAGATATGAGTTTAGGCTTGTAATGCGTATTGTTGTTTTAAATAATCTGCGCCTATTCTTATTTTTAAAAAAATTTCATGTTTTTAACATGAAAAATGTGCCTTAAAAAAGTATAGACGCACATTATTTAAAAAAAAGAATGAAAATGCATTAAAATACAATTTTTTTTAGATCTGCCTCTTTGAATTTAGTTTTTAGGTGCACGTTATGCTTCCTAGCATTTGTAGAATCTATCTAATATTTTGAAATATTCTGGTTGTTTCAGCTGTATTTACAAAAATAGTCAGTTTTTATTACGGAAAGTCATAGCACAATATATGCAGGAATTAAATAAGTAAGAGAAGTCAAATGAGTGAGAACAATGGCGACAAACACTATCGAAGATATTCCAGAGAAAATTTTTTGTCCAGTTTTTTTAGGTCTCATCTTTGCAGAAACTTTTTTCGTATCAAATACTCAATTTTGAGAACTTTCAATCATTTTTTGCTTTTAAGTAGATTCCAGAAGCTTTTTCTCTGGTTCACTGCGCATCATTGTTCGATTCGTTGGTGAACCAGTTGCTGCACCTTCTCCTGGAGAGATGACGGACAGCTCCTACAACTCTTCAGCGCGGTCCAGTTCTCCAGTTGACGTTGCCAAGTCATGAATGTAATCAACACGTGTAGACTTGTTTGTCAATCGCTCTCTTCCGTATCCTTCATCTCTTCCTTCTGCAGCCGGTTTTTCGTGGTGTAGTTGGCCCTGGTGTAATTCCATTTCGATCTTTTCTTCCTTTTTCAGTATCAGGTTTTCTTTGGTTAATTGTTTCAAACATTGTCGCTGAAATACTACCACTTACTTTCAGGGTACTCTTCCGGGCGTGAAAGGAAACGCTTTCCGAGGTCTTTTTTCTGTTCAGGTACAAGTTTCCGAAACCCAGC